CTTGTTAGGCAGGCACTCTTTCCACTTGAGCCACTCTGCTAGCCCTCAGAGAAGGCATTTTGGAGGAGGTGATATTCTGAGCTGTGCCTTAAATCACAAGAAATTGATAGTTCCTGGGCTCAGGCAGGGCAGATCAGAGCATTCCAAGCAGGGGGGAAGTACAAGCATGGGCCTGAGCAATAAATGTCAGAATATCTTCAGACAGCACATGGGGTTGGGTGTTGCTAGAGCACAAGAAATAGGAAAAGAATGGTCCTGAAGGGAGATTATGAAGGGCTTTGTGAATCAGGCTAAGGACCTCAGATTGTATTCTGTAGCAGTAGATACTTCATTCATTCAATGCTTATTTCCTTAGTAATAGCCAAGTATATAACTTGATATTCAGGATGCAATGATAAGCAAAATGGTACCACTTCTGCCCTCAGGGGGCTTGTGCTGTAGCAGAATCAAACTCTCTTAATGCTAAGGAGTGACAAAGGCCTTAACAAGAGCAGAAATCAGTAAGATAGAAAATGAGAGATTTCACTGGGTATGGTACATGCCTTTAATCCCAGTTATTCAGGAGTTAGAGGTAGGAGAATCATGAATTTGAGGCCAACCTGGGCAAAATTTAGTGAGACCCTATTTCAGAAACAAAAGGACTAAGGGCATGACTCAAGCTGTAGACTGCCTGCCTACCTACCATAGGTGAGACCCTGGGGTTCAATCCCTAATACCAGAAAAAAATGTAATGAGAGATTTGTTTGAGAATATTTAAGGGTAAAATATTCTCAATCCTTTGACAAAGGCTGATTGGATGGTGAGGTGATGAGAAAGAAAGCATAGATGGTTCTCAGGTTTATATCGTGGGTAGATGGTATGATACCTACTAGAATGGAGGATTTTTGAAAAATGAATAGGAGTTTTGGTGGAGACATGGAGAGTTTAACCTTAAGACTTGTTGAGTGAGGTAGGCATTTAGCAGGTAGTTGGACATGCAGTGTTAAGAAGAAATCCATTGGTAGCATATAGATGATAATTCAAGCCATGAGAGTAAAGAGAAATATGAAAGATGATAAGAGGACATGGAATAAGTTCAAATTTAAGGCACAGATGGAAAAAGGTGGAAACCTTTATTCAGGAAAGTAGGGTCAGTTTTGAAGGTACAGTTTGTTTGTTGGAATAATATGGTACAGTAGTTAATAACAGTTAAACTTAGCTCCCTAAGTATTCGAATCATACATTGTCCTCAGCCAGGAAAGGAGAAGACATCAGAGTAAGATACTATCCTTGCCCTGGAAGAACTCACAGTCAGGGGAGGTCATTGCTTCCATCATAATACCAGATGTCAGCAAAATTGCCTTCTAAATAAAGAATATTATGCAATGAATAATTAAAAAAAATAAAACCAAACAACTTAGTTTGGAGCATTCTTAAGAATTGACAGAAGAAAACAGAAGTGTTCAAGCTGTTGAAGAGAGAAGAGGAAGAACCATAGTTTGCTTAAAATATTTTAAATGGCTGTGTTTTGAGATCCAGAATTAGAAAATAAAACATGAGTGGAAACTAAGTAGGCTTACATATTATATCGTGTATTTATATATCGGCCAAGAGGAATGTTCTGTGGAACAAAACTTCTAGCTGACTCCTTCCATTTATGACAATTGCAATACCATCAGGAGGACATTGACTGTTGAGGCTGAGTGAGAGTGTAGAATCAGTGATCTTTGAGGTCTTTTCAGTTGTGGTTTTTGTATCTAGCTACGTAAACATTTTCTAGAGAAATGGTTCTCAAACTTTTAGAGTCAGATACTCCTTTGAGAATCTGATGAACAGTTATGGACACTATCCCTAGGGGAAAATATGCAAGTATGTACGTAAACACAAATATTAAAACAAGACCCTCCTGAAGTCTACGATAGGAGTCCCCTGGACTCAAGAGGCTAGATCCTCTTGTCTTAATGGATTTCTAATAGATGAGAACACAGCCATTGCTCATTCTGAAATTATATACCTTGAAAAAAAAGCCTCTTTGGGACTTAATTTAGAACCATGACTAAGGTTTACTGTATATCTAATGCAATGCATCATTGATTTTATTCTGTCAGCCTTACTTTACAAGTGGCCCTAAGCAACTCACAGCTTCACCAAGATATGTACATAATCATATGCACATATTTTATTTAAAAAATAATGATGCTGTTTGGTGTGACCATATATAGTTATGAAGTTATGTTGTTGTAACTGAGATTTCTCTGGTAAATGGATTTTAAGGGAATTCTTTCTGATTAGGGGCTGTCTTACATATTTATACTAGAAGAGTTTGTGAGCTATTTCTGATACTTCGACTTTAATCATGCTTAATGAACTGAACTAAACATAATTCTTGTTCCGTTTTGGCAACCTGTGGGTTTCTCCAAATGCTCAGTTTCATATAACTACACCATTCTTGAAATGCTAATACCCAAAATGCTAATTCAAGAAAGGACCACAGAAGTTAGATTTCACTTCAGAGAAGTGC